CAGGTTTTATACGACACATACACAATAATTATTAAATCAATTATTGAAATGAAATACAGTGGATTTTCTCTTTAAATTTTATAAAAATATTTTTATTAAGAGGCATACTATTACAAAGAAATCAATTTGAATACATTTTAAAACGACCAAAAATTCATATTAGCATTTAATGAAAAATATTTTGCATAATATTATATATTTATTGTGAGCATCCATTGTGAGAAACTCATGCTGTCATCATTTCGGATTTCTACCATAGTGTTCTTTCTAGGGGAGTTCAACAACATAAAAGCTACAATTGAAGGGCAGGATGTAAAACCTTAACCACAAATAGTAGTCAGACTTACAAACCTCTTAATCATATCGTTAATATTTATTACCATATCTCTTTCCATTGATAAAAGACCCAAATCATAAACGCTTACAAAATTTTTAGATTCGTAAAGCTCTGAAAGCATAAAGCCGCATACACATATGTTCTGAGGAAAAATAAATTAAAAACTTAGCAAGAGTGTTTGAATAGATTGTATGAAATCACGTTCAACTATCAATTTCAAAATATCAAATAACGGCCAGTCTCCATTGTGTTAGACACTTTAAGGTACTTTCTAAGGCTTGGTATTTATTTTAAAAACATAGCTTTAGAGAAATAGTTTAATACTAATAGTATTAAAAAATAGTAGTACTTTCTACTATTTTCTAATACTAATAGTAGATCACTGGCTTAAAGACCTGCGAACATATCTGTTGCTTTCTTGAGCGTTATTGATCTCATATAAAGTTAAGAATAAAAAGGATCACTCTTTATTTTTTTTAAGAATCTTTTCATTATTTTCTTGTAACATATTAAACATGATAAAATATTATAGTTATCTGCTCGTGAAATCCAACTAAATCAATCTGCATGTGTATCGTCGGTCCTTTGACATAGCGACGCCACTAACATATTTATATAATAAGGTTTGAGCTGTTATAACCGATTGTGATCCTTCTCCATGTATTTTCCTATCACTACATTCATTGTGGTGTTGATATTAATCCCAGCTTGTCATTACGCTGATATTCATTATTATCAATTTAATTGCATTTACACAGTGGAAATGATTCTGTAATTTTGGGGGACTATCAATATTGATTAAATAAATTAATTGACCATCTATATGTATATATGTAGAAGAAGAATATTTTATCGATTTGCTATAAACTTCTGTAAATATCGACGAACTCTAAAAGAAGCAGTATGTATGTAAAGATAGATGCCAATGGCAGCTCATCTTATTGGGACATTCTTGCTTAAGTTCTAAGAATTTAACCTATTATGCTATCATAGACATTCCTAATGCGTTTAAGGAAACTTATTAAAACTGAACGTTCCAGAGATAAGGTTATTACCAACTGCGTGCAGACTTCAGATTTTGTATTTCAATATTCGTAAATGTGCAAATGATTAAATAAAACTAAACATTAATTTATATCTAATGATTCGATGAAAAATATTAATTACTCAACTATTGATATTACGACATGCATATTCTCAAGTTTTATAAAACTGCCTTAATATACACAATTATATACACCATATCCATGCACCTTATATGATTTCAACAGATCAAATACATACACAATTTAAAAATCGTAAAGCGACACAAATAGTTATCAAAAATTGTTAATAAAAGCTTAATGTTGTAAACAAAATTATATACATGCAATATATATTTCATATAAATAAAAAAATTATACAAACAAAAACCATAATAACGACTAAAATATTGAAAGTTTTTAAATGTGAACAGTTTCAAATATTAATTTATTTAACAGTCTGAGTTATTTTTATATTTTAATCGCATATAAATATTCTATACGCAAATAAATAAATTAATATAAACAAATATATGGAGTATGTAAAGTTTAAATCAAAAATGTAAAAATGTGATTTTTAAATACACTATTAAGTTAAATAAAATATAACATGAATTTAGGAATATTCGTATTTAGTTTTGAAATAATTTTTTAAATTTTATCGCATGCGAGAAATAATTCCATAGAGATGAACTGCTTCGCAACACATGATGAAAATCTCTCACATGATACAAAACGCAAAAATGATTGGAGAAGACTGAAAAATACCTGATTTACATGATTTTTCAAAGATATAACCCTATACATATGAATTACTTACGTTTCACTTGAACTTAAGCGGAGCTATATTATTTTCTGTTGGTTTGTTATTGATAACAGAATGTAGAGAATAAACTGTTCTTACATAAATGACGATTAAACATACATATTACAACATTCAATTGAGTGTGATAAACCGAATGAGTCATTGTGTAAACCAAAGACCTGAAGCATGTAGTGCGCAGCGTCACTTCGAGAAACTGCGATACCCGCATTCAAGCTTAAGAAGAACATCCTAATAAAGTTGTCAGCTTGGTTCTGACATTAATTTTATAGGATGACAACTCTGACAGTTGAAACGCATTGAAACGTTTTGATCCAACTGATTACAAAATATTCTACTACTGACTCTGTTGCTTATTTTGGACCCATCAGTATAGTTCAATTCTGTTTGCAGGGACTACACTAGTATCTAGTAATCTCTGCTCTGTACAATAGAGCCAAATTCTTGAATAAAGTATGAATATGAGCACGCATAGTCAATAGGACCAGTGAATGATAAATCCCTACATACTTACTACTAATTTTGCTTGATGTTTTATCAAAACCCTAAACAAAAACCAATAAGGGAACGTGAATATATCTTTCATTGAAGTGGGGCATAGAAATCTAATAACTTGAAGTACAGCCTTCCTTTGTACTTTTCAAAGCAGCCTTAGGTATTGATTGCGCCCATAAAACACAATAATATATAAAAGAACAGGTTAGTAACGGCTATGTAGAGCCAGACAATGATTTGAAATTTGATACAATCTTTAATAATATAATACCACAAAAGTATTTACCTTCGAATGCTTTTCGTTACTTTTCAAAAAATATTTTAAGGTCCCCATGTATTTATCTTAGAAAAAAGTAGTTATATTTTAAAATGTTACAATTACAATATTATTATTTATACATCTAACATATATATGTACTCATATTATTAAAATCTATCACATGTTAATTGATATTGCCAGTTTTTAATACCCATATCTTCTCGGTGTTTGCTGATCGTAGTATCCATGACTGTTGCCATTGTTTGTAAGCTTGTTGTATTTCTTTGATACTTTGTTGATGTGGTTGTTGTAGTTTTTTCGGTAATATCTCTGATGTGCTCCCATTGCTCTGGTTGACGTTGCCTGCGAGTTGTTCGATATATTTGTGATTGGCTAGCTGGTAAACATTTGTTGGTATGTAATTGACGTTTCTTTGACCGACCATCTTTTGACGAGGTGTCGACTGTTTTTGTGCTACAGCTTCCATCTTTGAATATATCATCGGATTTGCGTCTAAAGATGGTCGATCGAAGAAACCACTTTCGTCATGAGCAGAACAAATTTGTTTCTGAGGGAATGTCATTTGCACCACTTCGAAGTAAATGTACGCAAACCGCAAGAATGGCTAAAAGTACAACAACCAATCCCAGCATTACAAAAAATCCATGTTTATATCTTGCAGCATCTGCTGAAGCTTCTAATAGACGTATACGATAACTGTAAGCACCATGAAATCTATTATAGTCCGATTCATTATCAAATGTTTCAATATTTGGTAAGTATATTTTCCAGAATTCATAGACGCGTTTTAGATGCAAAGCATAAATTGTATACTGTTGATTTTTTGTACTAGCTTCCTCATATCTTGAGCTATTATTGTGTATATTTCCTAAATCATTACGGCTTGGTCGAGGTAATCTCGTTTCCATGTTATTTGTTTCCGCATATAACAAGTTCGTAATTTTTTCGATATTATTTTCTAAATACATTGATGAAATAAAAGTAGTATCTATCCCCTTTTCCGTTCCAGAACCAATATTATAAACGAATTTATGTTCATTTTTATATGAAAGCCAAATGTTAGAGTTATTATTTGTGGGGTTCCCACTTTTTATAAAACTTAGAAACACATTTCGAATATGGCGACAAAGTTTTTCTTCATTATTTGTTAAACGTCGTCTGGATATTTGTTGAAAAAGACTTTGTCCATATAATAATGGTAGATCTGAGGAATGCGAAGCACCACCGAAAAGGTTTAGCTTACCACGCATATCCAATGAATTAGGTGTATCAAATATATATGCATATATAGAAGACTTAGTAAATTTATTTGATATTAATGTCTCTAAAGTGTCATAGAACGGCATCTCATAAAAGAACTCTGACAGCATTCTCTGCATCGAATTTAATAAATAAATCACATTACTTCCTGCCTCACCATTGAAATATCGCATATAAAGCTCCTTGACAATATTCGTTCTAGATGTTGAAGACACATTAAATTTTTCCAGTATGCGTGGTAGAATAGTAAAGTTTATATATGACTGCAATGCGTCATAGCTTTCGCGTGCCAAGTCCAACCAATAATCTTGTAAAAAAGCACCTTCGTTCGACGTTATACCAATTAGAATAGATGAAATTGAATCCAATGGTTTATTTTTTAAGATATCTCTTATGTTCATTTGAAGAATTGGACCTATTATCAAAGTTGTATTTCCGTGATTATAAATACTTTCAAATGCCTTCTGCAAATCGCTTACACTTTTCATACGTAGGCAAATGAGCAATTGATCTCCATCTTCCTCAAAGTGACAACCGAGCTTTCGAATCAAAATTTTTGATGATTCCATAACAACTTCATTTAAACTCAAAGTTCCTATAAGGTCTTTCGGTGACATTAAAATGATGCTAGAGAAAATCGGTTCTCTAACATCTTGTATTAAAGACAAAGCCATAACACAAGCTGTACCACTTGTACCATGTCCCAGTAATGTGATTTGATTCTGATTTCCACCAAAATTTTGTATATTCTGCTTAATCCATTTAAGTGCCAGCTGTTGGTCCTCTAAACCGAAATTACCCGACATTTTTGAATTTAATAAATTTATCCAGCCAAATATGTTTGTCCGATATTGTATATTTACGATAATAATACCTTCAGATGCTAAGTCAAAGCCAAATGCGCGATTATGGGGCCAATCATATAACATATCTTCACCAGATATAATTACCAGTACCGGTAAATTTCCTAAACGTAATGCTGTCTAATAAAAATTCTTGTTACAATTTGTACGACTATTTTACGTATTTAAATACCTCTGGTACCCAAATATTTAGATATAAACAATCTTCGGACATTTGCGCCGGACGTGCAAATGCACTATCTGCAGTCTCGTCGTAAATCGTATTTGTTAGTTGAGGACAAATGGGTTTTAAACTTTTCGCTTGAAGTGTCCAATTCCAACCTCTGTGAGGTTTGGGTGACTAAAATTGCTATGGGTCAGTGCCTTCAAATTTTTGAATATAACATTACTTACAGCAAAACGCAGATCCCCGATTGGAGGCTGAGCATAAGGAACGCCCAAAAAGGCGTAAACTGCTGATCGACTGGAGTCTGGAAACACTTTCAGCTGGAATATTTAAACCACACACATATGTAAATACGTATTGTCGTTATTTTTAATTTATGAATTAACAAAAAAATTTTCACGATAAATAAAAAAGATCAGCAATTAATTTAACATTATTAAAATATATTTACAAGCAAAGAATATCAATCTTTTTTGCACCAAAAAAACAAAAAAAAAACAAATTTTTTAAAATTTCATTTTTATTTATTATATGAATAAATAAATAAAAATAAAATAAAAAAATATTAACTCACACCCGCAACTGTTCCTTTCTCCAGTGTGATCTGTGCCTGCTGTGTGCGACATAAAATCACTTTCACTAACAATGAGATGAAGATTAGTTCGAATTTGTTTCTTAACTGAAGAATCATTTTAATATCATCACAATTTCCGTATCATGTATCATAACTTCTAATTGCTATGCTTTCAAGGTTTTTTTTATTAAAATCACAAATTATTAGCTTATCGGAAATACGATGTTTTGTTCCTGATTTGCTGATTAATCATTATGTATTCTGCACTCAGTCTTGAAAAATGTTCCAACACCCAGAATTTATTCGATTTAGTTTTTATTTGTTGTTTCGATGGGAACGTACACGAATGAACTAAATTTTAAAAATAATAAAATTTGATTTAACTTTAACACTTAACTAAGAGAACTCATCGGGAGAGTTACTGAAGTAAGTCATCCATTCCTGACTATAACTTCTACATACGAGGTGACATTTGTTTTGTTTAATTACATTGGTTACAAACCTATGAGCATGTGGCTCGTGTGTTTGTATGTGGATTAAACAGGTACATACATTACCGATGTGAATAGTCAGTAAATAATTTGGTAGAAATGTATTTATTTTCCCAAATGCTTTTGGCTGATACGCAGAATTCATATATACAATTCATATAATTATTCGGTCCGGCCTGCTAAATTTACTCAAGCGGCAACTGTCCAACTGCTTTTCTGCATACATATGTGTTGCTCCAAAGTTGTGAGATCACCGCAGTTGGTCAGTAACATGGTTGCGCGAACTCTTTGGGACTTTATTGATTTAAAAAGTAACATTAAAAATAATTCATAATCACAATTATTATTACTAACAAATTATTCTTTGAAAATTATTGAGTGATTTAACCAGAGCACAATGATAAACACAGTTTGCAGGTGATGCAATGTTGTTGTTTGACCTCTGAAGTGTGTCTCCGGTTTTTTAATTTTAATAACAACAATGAAACATCATAGTCAGTAAATATATATGTACATTGAATAGATTGGAAGTAGAGAAATAGTTTTCAATTGAAATAGTTTTAATATCACAATATTTCACTTACATACCTATGTATATATAAGTATCTATCATCAGCGAATGCGAATGCTCAGATTCATGCTTAAAATAGTTGTGAGCATAAGATTTCTTCTTCTACTTCTTTGTTTCATTAATTCCCAGTGGAGCATAGGGCATTAAGTGTATAAGATTTAGCTGCAACTAAAACTAAGTTATTAACTAACTAGTGCTGAAATATATTTTATACCTATAAAGATTTTACAAATCAAATTTTTTATTGATAACAGGACTTTAAGTGTTAATTATTGTTATATAAATATATAAAATTAAATCGGTCTCTCAAACAACTTATCTGTATTATTAATAACCATGCATATTTTAACAGAAGACTTTGCATATAAGGTATTTAGTTATATAGGATATCCAATATGACCAGATCAATTTAATTTTTTATTAACAATCGAATCTTAATGAATTCGAAACATTTTTCTACAAGAATTTGTATTCAAACTATTCATTTTTAGGTACTAACTATATCATACCATAACTATATCTAATTCTGAATTTTATTCCATCATTTTAAAAATAAGATATTATTCGAATTCAGAACTTTATTCATTTTACAATATTAATAAAAATTTCCTTATAATTTCTAACAAACAAAATTTACAGTTAGTCTTTTAATAATATGCCAGCTATGGTATATAGTATATATGGTATATACGAATTTTATTATTTATTGTAGAAGTAATATATAAGCTCAAAATGTCTTTAATTCTTGTGCTATTAAAAATTGCAAGGAAAAAAAATCTGATATAAAATTTATTCGTTTTCGTACTAGAATTTTAATTTTCAAAAAAATAACCTCAAATTTAATTCTATATAATCTCTTTATATATAGTCTCTCATCTATATAATTACTTTTTTACTAGTAACCAACCAATAAAGAATTCAGAATACGAAGTAAATAATACAGTTCCTAATAATCCAAATGCATTACTCAGCGATGTATAATAATTAAATTCAAAAACAACAAATAAGTTATATTACTTATTAATATTTGATATTTGATATATAAACTTATTTATATATTTTTATATAACAATTATATATTTTATTTATATATTTGTTATTTATTTTAAAAAGTCTTACCTTAAATTTGTTTTGATTTGTTGACTGTTTATGTTTACATTTTTTAATGTGTCAAATATGTCAAATGTCGATCATTTCGATCATTTCGATCATTTGCAATGCTGTATTCGACATTTTTGGTTTAATTTTGCTTACAATAAGTTAAAAAGTAAGTTAAAAACTTCGGAAGCTTTTTGTATGGTTAATGAAATTTACTTAGTAAGTTATACTTAAAAAAAAAATCATGGAAGCTCTTTGTATGGTTAATCAAATTTACTTATTAAGTTACACTTACTAAGTAAGCAGTGGAAACAACAGTGTGGTTGTTTAATTTTTATCAAAGCATTACATGCGTTTGTTCCATCGTGCACACGTGTTTTGTTGGTAACATTTGACAGTTCAGTTTTGACTCTGCGGTTGTTTAGTTTTAAATTTCATTAGAAGGCCTTCGTTGAAAGTTTATTATTTTATTTTTCTAATTTATTTAAAATAATTCTTCATTATATATAAGTGGATTTTTTGAAAGTCGTTACATTAACATTGTTACAATGGGTGGACACATCGTCAACATTGACGTATTTCCGTCCAATTTAGAGTTTGCCGTTTTCTCTGCCGAGGAAATAAAGCGCCTTAG